TGTTTGAGTTTAGGAGGAACCAGGTTATATAGTTTAAATATCATATAAGAGAATGAACCTTGAAATTTGGAGGTACGATGGAGAGGTGGAGATATATGCCCTCTAAACCTTGTATGCACATTATGCACATCACTTCGAAATGTAATTTTATTATAGAGATAAGGAGGCGACTTTAATGAAATGATCTTATGATACAATGTTACCATGTGTAAATTCCTTCTAGTTTTCATATTTAACCAGTTAGTTTCAATTAGTTTGTGACTTATCCTTTCGTATTTTTTTATACCATATATGTAGCGAAGACAAGAATTTTGTACTCTTTGAATACGATTAATATCCACATAGTCAATACAAGGCCCGTAGACGACATCGCAGTAATTAAAATGACTGAGAACCATAGTATCACAAAGAAGTATTTTTATATTTTGATCTAAAACATGGCGATGCGGGTAAAGCATTTTCAAATTAGCGTAAGCCCTTTTTATACAATTATTTACATGGCTTTTAAATTTTAAGTCAGTATCAAGATGAAGACCCAGATTTTTGGCAACATCTACACAAGCCACCAAGACACTATCAATACTCACAGATAAATGTTCTGCTAGTTCTTTTTTATTTTTTCCAAAGACGAGTATTTGTGTTTTTGCGGGATTGATAGTTAGCTGATGTCTGTTAGAAAAATTTACGATTTTTATTAATTCTGAGTTAATCAGTTCATTAGTAAGAGCAACATTAAAATCAGACAAAGAAAACCTTATTTGCGTATCATCAGCATATATATAAACTCTGCCATTGGTAAGAGCCGAACTAATATTAGTAGAGTAAATGCAAAACAAAATTGGTCCCAAAATAGAGCCCTGTGGCACACCGCAGGCAATATTTTTAATATCAGATCTACCGGCACTTGTTTCAACAAACTCTGAACGATCGTAAAGATAGTTTTTAATAAATTCAGTTGCTTTAACCGAAAAACCAACATAGTGAAGAATACTGAACAGAAGCTGATGGTTAATTGTATCAAAGGCTTTTGTATAATCTAGAAGTATTAAAACGTTTGTATACCCTTTGTCTATATCCCTAAAGATATCATCAGTGACCTCTAATAATGCTGAAGTACAGCTGTAGCCACGTCTGAAACCAGATTGGCTGATTGGTAAAATATTGTAATTGTTGATGTGAGACTCTATCTGATATTTAATTACTTTTTCCAGAACTTTTGATTCGAACCGAGGACTCTTAGATTTGCAAGTCCAGACTTTAATAGCTTTGAAAGTTTCTTAGTCTTTAATTAGTCGATTGCCTCATTAATTGCCGTAACACTTTTCTGTAAACAGAGTGAGTTTTAAGTATGGATTGCCGCAATTATCTCGGAAACGGCTTGCACGATTTTTATATACTTTGGCCGATATTATGGTTGTATTTATATTGTTGTCAGATCTTTCGGTTTCCTGGAAATATAATGAACTTTGTTATTTCAAATGGATCACCCCATATATTTTTTGTTTTTTGAAATCCTTATGAAATACTGATTATTTTTCATGCAATATTCCCTATACTTAAATGCCATAATTTCGGAGTTACAGCTACATTTACATTATCTTTGCGGACGTTAAAATAATACATTTAGATGTATATGTATGATTCAATAAACTCGTTTAATTTGAATAATGTTTAATAATCTATATCATAATAGAAATCTTGTAACAAGGTCTAATGTCAGTAAATCAGTAAAAAAGTTTAAGGAAACTGGTGCAGTAAAATATTTATCCAAATCATGGCGCAGAAAATCTACAGCAACTGAAGACAAATCTTTAAATGTTTGTGTAATGTTAAAAGTAGATTCACATTTGAGTAGTAGAAAAATTAGGAACTTTAGAAAACATAAAGTTAAGGCGATTATAGCAGACGCTCAAAATATTGTCCGTTTACTTCAATACAACAAGCCATGAGATTTTTAAAATTTTGCAATACATTTTGCAACATCCCTGACTGCTTAATTCTTCTTATCTCTGTAGTAGTCCTCTTTTAATTCCTGGATATTGGCAGGTTTTGTTTTATAAACGATGTTTTCAAGTGACCTCACAGGAAATAGTCTACAGAATTCATGCCGGGTGATCGCGGGGGCTATTCGATAAAACTTCGCCTTCCAATACATCTTCTGGGAAACATATTATTTATTTATTGCCTCACCTCACGCGCATAGTGAGGTCGAGTACCATTTTGTTGCAGCCAAATATTGTCGTTTGAGATATTGTAATTGTCTAAAAGTTTCGAATAATAAAATTTTTTCACGACTTCTTAGGAAAGTGACAATATTTAGTCTTATGAAAAGTGCCCTATATCATAAGCGTGTGGATATATTTATTTTCCACACGCGTATGAATATGAATCTACTTTCCGGATAAGCTGTCAAATAAATCAAACGTCTAATTTGTATTTTGATTGATGTAATATCCATTTTATTAGTAAAATCGATTGGAAAAATCAATTGTTTACATAAATTCTTAAAAATAGATCTGTAACGGTTTTAATCAAGTGTTAAGCCTATAGTATAGGTTTTATTCGTCTATAAAGTATTTCTGTTCCTATAGTTGCTTAAAATATAACTTATCCGACTAGTCAAAGGTTTCATGCATTCAGATTTCACCCTGTAATCTCTGTACACATTTACAAAACATCTATTTATATTATCCAGTTCTAATAGTTTGAAATTATAGGGATTTTAAACTTAATATAATATTTTTACAAGAATTAAAATATCTTCACCACAAATAGGCAAAGTTAAACTCGTTTTATGATACCTTCTTTGTGCAAATTGTAATATTGATGAAAAAATTTACCTTTATTATCAATCCTTGTTGTGATAATTTTTACAAGCACTCGACAACAATCCTTGTGGTAAATAAACTTTACAAACAGCATTTTTCGTTAAGTGAGATCATGATTTAATTGTCGTGGATATTTTAAATAATAATAAATGGGGTTATATTTATATTTGTGTGACTGCTAGACAGCTGTCAGATCATAGATAAGTACTATAGAGAGTGGTAAAGCTGCTTGTAGTTCTGTGAGTATATTTTGACATTCCGTTGTCTAGGACTTCTATTGGATAATACAGGGATATCAGCATGATACAGTTAGTTTTATTTTCGAAATCGTAAAAGCTTATTGGCGACACAGGGGAGCCATTCGTAATTCGTATTTGTTCGAGAGTGACAATTGGCTGAAGTAGGTTTTATGTACAGCGATTCTGCGTGATTGAGGTTTCGTCTTCGTGTTGAAGAAAAGCAAATCGATACGTGTTCTTTTTCTGAGAACAAGTAATGGTGGTTTGAAGTGAAAATTCGTGAAGAGAAACTTTTCTAGTTTTTGTGATTTTATGGAATAATCTGATGTCGGGGAGTTTAGAAAAGTATCTTGTTATTATAAGAAGCAGTATTGGTAAAATTGAATCGTGTTAACGTGGATTTGAGCCAGTTATTTTGGTGATTGTAGTACCGGCTTTCTTAACTCGTGGTCGAGGAGAATTGGATTTGAGGTTTAGCCCATTGGTAGATGTATTAGCCGTCTCCTATTGAAGGCTGGTCGTAGTGCAGACCGTATATTAAAGGATATACTGGTTTTAAGAAGGTTTTAGCAAATTTCTCTGCGTTTTGATTGAAGTTACACCCTCTGGGATAAGAGGTAGGTTTTATTCTTTTTTTTATGTGTAATTTGACCTGTAAATATTGCATTCATTCATTGTAATTAATAGACATTCTTCCAGGCAGTAAATTAGGGGGTTGAATGTTTTTGCTGTATTGAATTTTGCTAATTAAATTTTAATTGGGTACTTTTTTGTATTACTTGAATAGTCCTTGCTCTGACAGGCACTAATTTCAACCCATTGGGTGGCTTAAGATTTCACTTTTAGTTTTTATTATCTCGAATTAAGAGATAACTGGGTGGGATTAAATTAGGTTACGCCATTCTGAATAGGGATTGTATATTTTAGGCTTTTTGTATCCAGTTTTTGTATCCAGTATTTGGACCCGGTTTTTGGGACCAGTCAGTCAGTGGACTCAGTTTTCCCAGATTACAAAGTAATCACCCACTCCCATCTTACGTTACAGATCTTAAGATATATTTTTTAATAAATTAGTAAACGAATTTTAAAGTAACTACCTAAATTATTTTTGCTTTTTCCTGGTTATATACGTATTTAATTAGATAAGTCAAATCACAAAGCCGTGATAGCGTTAATGGTTTAGTATCTGACTTTTTTAACTTGGCATTTCGTGACCATTTCATGACACTGGTTCAATTCCCGATTAATTATTATTTTTTTATTTTTTGATTTGAAAAAATATGAAATTTAGGAAAATACGACTATTGTTGTTTATTTATTTAAAATACATGTTATATATCATATTATAATCCCTACAATATTTTGTACTATTTTAATTACTGTTGTAATTATTTATTGTAACAATTAATAATAAAAAAGTTTTTATTCACGGTTGTACAACTTATTTGTTAAAAAAAAACTAATGCAAATCATTAATGTATTCTAATATTTTTTGTAACTAATGTTCATCATACTTATCTATAAAAAGCTTTAAAATTTATTCAATAAGGCATATCACAAAATAAATCTAAAACCAGCCACATCTTGATGAAACATTTACAGTCAGACTTCCTAGTTTTACATTTTTTTGTTAAACTTTTATGGTCGTAGAAAAAATATTGTATCACTTGTGTGAAAATGAATTTTCACACTCGCGTGATTGTCGCACTCGGATTATGCCTCATGTTACAATATTTTCTACTCAATTAAAAATGTCAGTTTTGATACTCGTAATGTAAAATACTATTAACTAGTCATTTTCAACCGATTTACTAGACCATTAATATCATGATACTTTGACAGACAACCAAAGCTAGACATGGTATAGAGAGGACTAGAATTTACTTGTTTAAAACAAGAATATTATCGATTTAAATAATAATTAATGACTTACCCATTGGCTCTAGTTTGGTCTCCTCTAATACCAGATTCTTTCTGTAAAACAAACATTCAATTAGTATATTGCCGAATTTGGTTATTTCTGAAGAAGCAAGAATAATCTAGAAACTGTTTTGTGTATTTAGATACAGCATTCATTTTATTTAAACAGTAATCTAGTTTATTCTTAATTCTACTAAATAAAATACATCTAAATAGAGTTCATCAGCAAATTTTTTATTGAAGAGATTCAGCTTATTACACATATAAATATTTATTGTAAATTTAATGCCTGGAATAGAAACAAAAACTACATTGGATTAGTAATAAATAAAAGTCGTTCAAATATAAATTGTTTATTTATAATAAATCTTTCAAATTACCTAAATGAATATTTTTAAACATTTTTCTTGATCACTATTTAAATTATTTCAAGGAGACTCAAATACGATATGACTTTAGGGGGTATTTTGTAACATGGTTAAGCAATTAGTTTTATGGTACTTACAGATTTTTATTCAGGAGATTTCAGGTAATTTATTCAGTATTTGAGTTTATTATTGATTTTAAATATTTCTATAAAGATAAATTAAAAGTAAATAACTATGTTATCGATTAATATGTACTTATAAGTATGCACCCAGTATTGCAAGAATTCACTTTTACTCTACCGCTGAACTAAGATCCTTATTTTTATAAAGCGAATTCAAATGAGTTTGAGGTTAAGTTCGTGCTTAAACGAAATTCAATGTTCGATTTTATCTGCTTCAGAGTTCCAGGTGGGTCCAGTGTTTAGCTGAAATTTAAAGATTGACGTAGCAAATCCGTAAGTGTAAAGTAAATTTACGAATTTGTTACTGTCCATTTCTAAACTCCCGCGATATATGTTATGTTATGTTAGGAATGGGGTGTTAATACACTGCGACCTAAAAGATCTAATATGTCCCCTTCTGTCGTTAATGCACCAACGAAATGTCTCAATGCCTATAACGACCCTTCCAATACTATTTTCTCAAGGAACTGTAGGATTTGAAGTGGCTTCAAGTTAGAAAAATCTCCCTCTTCTATTTGATATCCTCCTAGATATAGTACCCTTGGATTCTGGAGTGCTACACATTCAGTTAGGATGTGAATGGAGGTTTCGTCCTCCTCCTCCTCCTCACAGAATCTGCACTCATTATCTTCTACTACTCTCAGTTTACTTAGGTGTCCTTTTAGTCGGCAAAGCCCGGTAAGGATCCCTGTTACAATACGTAGCCTTTTCTTGCTCAGGCAGATGCAGGCTTCTTTTTTGGTTATATTCACCCAGAAGTATCTTGGCCTGTCTCAGCCCCAAGAGATTGTTCCAATTATCGGTTCTTCTACTGCCCAATTCTTTTTTAATCTCTCTTAATATTATGTTACTGCTGATACCGGAGAACGGCTCAGGTCCTACGAAGGGTGTTTGAGTCCCTTTCCTTGCAAGACTATCTGAAATCTCGTTACCCTATACCCTGTTATGTCCCGGAACCCAAGTAAGATCCCGCGATATAACCGATATAACCCATTTTTGTTCAAGAAGGAACCCACCTGAGTCAGACTCACTATATAAATACGGACCTTAGATTAGTAAAAAAAAGGAGTCTTTTAGAGGTTATGATTTTTGGCACTTATCATATTCTGGTTGTATTTTATTTCTGGTAAATAATCTAAATAGGTGGCGTAAAATGTAGAAGGGATGAAGGTGTTAACCATGACGTACGCTGCTAGCAAGGTTTATTTAACTGATTTTTTAGCTGATAGGCGTATCTTAGGACCTCAAAAATATTTGCCCAATTTAGTAAAATTATACAGCGAAATATAAAATTGTATCTATGAATAATTTTTGAATTTTCAACTTTAACACCATGTATTTCGGAAATTATAAAAGCATGTTTTGTTTAATGGTCTTATTTTTAATCAAATAATCTTTGTTTTATGTCCTGTGTAGGTAAAAGTTGTCTTTTCATTTACAAAACTATGTAAAATATAAAAAACTAATTCACATTTATAAATTACTTTTTCTAATTTTGACACATAAAGTGACATTTTTTTGTAATTGCAGCAAGCGCAATCAGTTACATAAGTATGAACATTATGAAATTGGTTTCGAAAAACTCATTATGTCACCAGTTGCTAGAAGAAAACAAATAAAAATCAACCTTTATGGTTTTAAAATCAAAGAAGGGTAGGTTGATTTATAAAACTAGAATTTGGTTAAACAACCTAGTAATAATGTTGTTTTCGTCTTTATTTTTCATTCTAAATTAGTACAAAATAATTAAAATACAATACACGACAAAATAAATCAATTTTTTTAGAAACTAAATAACTTTAATAAGCCATACAAACATACTACAAGTTGTTGAGAATAAATAACAATTAACATTTTATGTTCCATTGGTAAATAAAATGATGCATATGCAACTAACAATACAAGATAGTAGTAATATTGGTTGCGTAAATATCAGAAATGTTTAACCAAAACACAATTTTATAAATAATCTAGTCAAAATGAGAAAAAATATTGTATGTAACACGTACGAAAGTCGTTTTATGTAACTCGTTTATGTTGCGGGACCTTGCTCTGCTTGTCCCGCAAATATTTACTAGTTACATAAAATAAAGCATTAAGTAACTGGTTTCATAAATAGTTATTTCGTAACCACTCTCATAATGGTCAACATTATGCAACTGGTTGCCCAAATTAGATCATTTTGACATTTGCTCCGATTACAAAAAATGTCACTTTATGTGTCAAAATTAAAAAAATTCTTATGTAATGTTTATAAGTAATTTAATATTTTTGTTTAGTTATTAACATCATTATTATTTTATTTTGGTATAATCATCTGTTCGACTTGAATTACCTTCGTGTTGTAACTTGGCATCTGTCTCTTTTTTACCATACAACTTGTCCAGCTGGATTTTTGCTGAACCAGCATCACTGTGCATAGTTTCGTCGGTTGAGAAGAAAACTATCCTAAATCCTTTTTTATTAGTTTTAAGTATCACGCATTTGAAAGTTTTATTGTCCTATAATAATGAAGACAATTCTAGGCAATTTTTGTTCCCCATATGGCTTCTTAGGATATTGTATAGTATTGCAGAAGTAATAATTAAATTGGACTTGTCAATTTCCTATTTTTCAAAAAATGGACATAGGATAGTTTAAATGGACAAAGGATTTTAACCGACGGTTTGTAGACCTCGGCGACATATTTAGCTGCTTTTTTGGGATGTACTGGTGGAATATCAATATTTCGCGCCAAGGTACCAAAGACTCATCCACGCAGATAATCTTTTATTGCCGGTAACTTTATAACTTTACTACCCACGAGCTAGAAACCTAGCAAAGCGGCAACGCTGGCGAAGTAGAATTTTGCGCTGTTATATGAAAAGTTAATTAATTGTGATTCCGCTGGATCCAGCATGCTGAAAAATGTGTTGGATCCAGTTGCCAGTCGTTATTATTTCACATTGCTTAGCGAGCTTTAATTTTGCTTACTATTTGTAGATGGTGTTACTTTATGACTTCTAATCCTTACACGATTATCTGTCATGGTTAATAAGGCATCTGCAGATTTCATTAAAGATTGGAATTGAAAATGTCTAATAAAGAGGAAATCGATCAAAGAATTAGGATAAGCAAAATTAAAAATAGACTAATGAAAATAAGTTTATATCTCTGTTGTGTTTTTTCGATATAATTCAATGCCTGTTACAGTAGTAGCCAAAGGAGTAGTTGTTTTCAGGAGGTAAATGGTTGCTCAACGTTTCTGTAATACGGTCTATATTTTATTTATTTTTACAATTAATTTTACGCGATGGCGAAGAAATGAAACTACATACTTATCCTATAAAATATCTTTTTCCTTTTCTGTGTTCTACTATCAAAAATGTTATTATTGTTTTTCAAAATTTTGTAATTAGTTTTCTATCTTGTCATCTTTTGACTGATTTTTGTGTTGACAATTTCGAAGTTTTAACAATACTTTACCCAGGATTCTAGTTTAATAGGTTTGGCGATAAACATAAATCTCTTTTTATTCAATTTTATATTAACTCATAATAATTGTTTTTAATTTCTAACTGTTCATTACTTTTATTTACAGAATCACAATTCTGTGATTGGATATCAAAACCACCGAAAGTCTTCCAATACGCCAAACACAGGTGCTTTGAAAACTACAGAGAGTTTGTATTGGAGCGAGCGTAAAACTAGCGGTATTAGCGTTGCGATTTATACGACCCGGTAGCATTGCAATATCGGCCAGGCCGTAAACTTACCACACGCACTTGTGACAAGGGATATTAGAAGGTATTCGTTTTCCGATACCGTATGTTAATGTTTGGTTACTATAACATACAGTGTGTCCGTAAAGTATGGAACAAATTCATTTTTAGCTAAACAGACCATTTTAAAAAAGAATCCTGAATCACGTCGATTTTTTATTTTAATTTACCGTATTTTAAAATAATCTAATATACAGGGAGAATTACTTTCGAGTCACCGTCATTTTTTTTAAATGGAACACCCCCATTTTGTCTCAATTTTCGGATTACTCTAGCTGAGCTGATTCCAAAAATGTATCACATGTTGATTCCAATTGGTACAGGGTGTACTTGTGGTCTAGCAGACAGAATAGGAAAGAAATTATTTCTTATCAATTTTGAAAAAACATAGTCGTCTAGTTTTTTGAGAAATGTCATTATTTGTTTAGTAATTTATTGATGTTCAGTGACAGTTTAGTACTACAATATTTTCGGTATTCGTGAATGTCGGACCCTACTTTATCGAAGGTAATTTAAACGGGGCAACGTACCTTGAGTTTTTAAGGGGGTATCTCGTACCTACTTTACGTAATTTGTTTCCCAGCAGACGTAATCCTGGAGGTTGTGATGAAAGTTTATGGTTTCAACAGGATGGTGCACCTTCACATTATGCTGTAAATGTTAGAAGGTACCTAGATAAAATTTTTCCGAACAGGTGGATTGGTAGACGTGGACCTATCGAATGGCCAGCGAGGCCAGCAGAT